TAACTACTCAACTTTCAAATTGCACATGTTTTAATCACTCTAATTTATTTTACTAATAATTTTTGTGACATGAAATTTATTATTATTATTTTAATCATATATAAGTAAAATAAAAAAATTTGAAAGTTAGAGTGATTAAATTATGAATAATTTGAAAGGTAAGTAATTAAATTAAAAAAATTAAACTTCAGTGATCAAAATAGGAGTGAGAAGATATTCAGTGATGAATAATATAATTTACCCATAAAAAAGTATCATGATGTAACATTATCTTTAACGACGAGGTACCAAAACAAAACAAAAAAGTAAATATTAGGTATGATTTTGAAACAAATGAAAGTTTAAGTACTAAAATAAAACAAAACTGATAATTTAAGTATTAAACATGTAGTTTACCCTATTTTTATCATTAGAAATTTGAAGTGTTATAATTAGACTCTATCTAAATTTTAGATTTAACATATTATTAAAATTCCAGATAATATAACAACCATTTTAAAAACCAGATAATATTAAAATTTTGGATAATATAATTTCAAGTAATTTTAACTATTTACAATTTTAAATTATAATCAGATAATATTAAAATTCTAGATAATTTAACACCATTTTACATTATCTTTAGAATATAACCCGCTTAAAGAAGAGGTTGGCCAAATCAGCCCAATAATTTAAACGGGTAAATTATTTAGCCCAATAAGGTAATTTGAAAATTATTTTGAGATCAACGATATTTTTACAGTGTACACGACGAGTTTCATAAAATATATTAAAAAATTTAAACTCGTCATGCGGCCATGATAAATTCCATACAATTTTGTTCCATATCATATGAAGAGTTCTAATTTTTAATATGTTTTCATGAATACTATAGCTAATAATGTAGATCTCAAAATAATTTTTGGATCGTCCTATTGGACTAAATAATTAACCCATTATAATTATTGGGCTGATTTTACCGAAAAGGTTGATCCTTTGAGGAAAAAAGATTTCCCCTTTTTTCAGTTTTGAGGTTCTTTTTGCTTTTAAGGTGCCTACACGCATTTCCACAACTGTTTACAAATGAAGTCATTGACGGCTACCAAAATTTGGAAATTTAAGAAAACAATAATTTAAGAGGAAAAACCCAAACAACAGAAAAGAGAGCTAAAAATTAAAATTCAATGAAGCACCAGGGATAAAGCAGTGGAGAAACTCTTCCCTCGCATATATTTTTCTAAAGGTGACACTTTCTCCTCTTTCTCTAAATACCCATCTCTTATTGGGGGTTTTATTTGTTTGGTTTATTTCAGTGTGCTAAAATGTGGAAGCTTAGTGCAGATCTCTAAATACCCATTGCCTTTTCTACCTGCTTCCTCATTTTGAAAGTTGTGGTTTTTATTTCTTTATTTTGAAGTATATAGTGAAAATATAGAACAAATAATTTCTGGGTTTCTTTTTCTTCTTTCAGGTTGGAACATATTTTGTGGGGCAATATTATCACTTATCAGGTACTTTTACAGCAGCCACACTTAGTGCACCAGTTTTATAGTGATGCGAGTACCATGGTTCGTGTTGATGGCAGTCACAGAGAAACTGCAGCTGCAATGCCGGTAGTTTTGCTTTCTCATTTTTTTTACTCAATTGTTTATCTAGTTTATCACGTTTCAGTGCTGCAATCTTCAGCAAAAACAAAGATTCTGCTGTTTTTTTTTGTTACATTTTACGGGGTAATGTCTTAATTCACGACATTTAGTACATTTAATGTATTTAGTAACTACTTCTTAATTATTATACACTTCAATACAGTGATGGACCGAGGGGGTCACCCCTGAAAATTTTAAATTCCCATATAGTTTAGATATTTTCTTTGTATTTTCTATTGTTAATATGTTTTCGCCCTAAAATTGTATAAGTTCGCCCCCTAGCATAAAATCATGCGTCCGTCCTCGCTTCTATGCAAATGCAAGCAGTAATATGGGATAATGCTTTCTATGTTGGTAATATATTCACTTAGCTATTTAAAACTAGTTTTCGTATTCTTTTATGCCCTCTTAAATTTACTTTCATAGTGCATAACAATGCACAATTTCATTTGTGGTTGTATTTCCCCATTCTCATGTTATTTTGATTTTATCTATGCATTCAATGAATGGAATTATTGGTTTATTGTTTCCCTTTTTTCATATTTTCATTTGGAAGCAAATTCACACTCTTGTTATGGCTCTCAACTTCACCGGGATTGAGATCAAGACAGCATGTTCCCTTGAAACTTGGAGTGCAGGTGTTCTAGTGATGTTTTCTGGTTCCGTGCTAGTAAAGAATTTCAGTTCCTGGAGGAAATTTGTTCAACCTTTTTCCTTGCACCGCAAGAGAAAGGCTTTTTTGTTCTAAATGACATCCTTCACTTTATTGACGAGGAACAAATTCACCACCATCCAGCTATCCTATTAACCCAACACTATCTTGATCATAAACTCAATGCATCAGCACCAATTCCTGAACCAGGTATTTTCCATCCAATTTGACATTTGAATTTTATGATCCTCCTTATCAGTTGACCTGATGTAAGGCTTTGTTTGAAACTAATTGAATTACAAATATAGTTTTTGGGACGAGTATGATCATATGGTTTGCATGTCTTAAAAGTAATTGTTTTATTCTTCTAAAAAAATGGCATGGAAACTAGGATATTTTAGTTGTTTTAGCTGATAACATTAGTTCTCTTCGTAGTGCCAAGCTATTTTTTGGGTGGAGATATCCAAGGACAGGAGATTGTGGATCACGTTGATGTCAGAGAAAATGGTCTGGTTGACAAGTTTAGTCTCCCGGAACAACAACTTCAGCAAGCTCTGGAATCTGTAAGTATTGTGGACAACAGTTCTGTGCAAGAGTCCAATGGTTCAATTCTGCATACAGCGAATACTGTCCAAGAGCATCTTCCTCTTGTCGAGGAACCCATTGAGGAACCCCAAAAGCACACTTATGCTTCTATTGTATGCTCTACATGCAGCAGTTATTCTATGTGTCATAAATTTGTTATTTTTATTTAATTAAAAATCAACTTCTCTTCTCGATACTGATTTATTTTCTTTTGTTCTTATTGCATGGTTGTTGAAGCTACGGGTTGCTAAAGGACAGTTGGCACCATCAGTTGCTTCCAAAGTTTCTGCAAACAAGAATTCACCCCTTGCTTCTGACTGGGACCACACTCCCCAACACCAGCAGCCTTTTCTCTCAAATGTAGTTGAAATGTCCGGGGCTGATACCGTTGATGAAATTTCAGCCATAGAATGTGAAGGTAAAGCTTCAAGTACTCCAGTTATGCTCAATTATTTCACTGGATGTTGGTAATGTCAAGTTTATTAAATTCCACTAGATTTTGCCGGTCCAATATCTGAAAACATTGGTCTATCTTGAAACTATAGAACGGGACATGTTTGCTATATTTTTTAAGCTAATCAAGTTCGATTAATTTGCTGCTCGTGTTCTTTAGGTGAAATAAAATCCGTTTATGTAAGGAACTTGCCATCTACTGTTTTGGAATCTGAAATTGAGGAATTCAAGAAATTTGGTGAGATCAGTCCTGATGGAGTGGTGATCCGTAGTCGCAAGGTACACTTTGTTGCTTCTTCTGAACTCCTATTATGGTATCTTGCTTTTGATGCTAAAATGTTCCATGCGTGTGCAGGATGCTGGTGTTTGTTATGCATTCGTTGAGTTTGAAGATATGGGGAGAGTCCGAAATGCAGTCAAGGTCTGAATTTACTTAGAGAAAACACACCTTTTTTTGTTGTTTAAGTAATATCTTAGCCTTTTCATCCATTTTTCTTCTTTCACACTGTGTCCTTCCTATTTGTTTTGTTGTTTAAGATATGATATCAATGTAATTAATTTATGTTCATATAGAATTTTCATCTTGATAAATACTGTATACTAATTCAGTTAAATCATATCAATGTAATTAATTTATGTTCATATAGAATTTTCATCTTGATAAATACTGTATACTAATTCAGTTAAATCATATGTGCATATAGGCAGGGACTGCACAGGTTGCTGGACAACAAGTGTACATCGAAGAGCGGAGACTAAACAGCTATATCCCATCTCGAGGAGGAAGTACATATTTCCTTCTCTTTTCTTTTAATGGATGTATTTTTTCGTATTGGAATATGTTTTATATTTTCAATTTGATACATTTGTTTCCCATACGTATTCTGTTGTTAAAATGTTCTGGACAGGGACGGGTAGAGGCTGGGGCAGCTCCCAGACAGAAGCTCTGAGGGGGAGCTTTGGCGCTTGGAGTTATGGCAGGGGAGGTGTCAATGATAGAAGTGTGCGAGTCTACAGTAGGTGAGAGGAAATGGTTTTTACCACCCAACTCCTCGTCAAGATCGTGGCTTATCCGGCCAACAAGTATCTCAAATTGGACAAAGTTCATAAAGCAAGCATCTTTTATCATCTATGAAGGTATCAAACTGTGATTGCAACCACCACAATTCAACATATTTATTGTTAGATTCAATAACAATATATCAGGTCTTTTCATTAGGTAGCATACAATGAATAGGAACTACAATTTTTTTAAGGAAGGGATTCCATTATTATATACAATTTGTTCTTTCAATATTTAATAGACAATTTTTGGGCTCATTGCTTTTATAGTTTGGTATATTTTTCAATCTAAAGGAAACTAGCCCCATTTTTTCCCCTACAATGTTCATGCTTGATCAAAAGTTTGATACTTTTTCTTTCTTTTGGACGTATTTATCTAATCAACAAGCTCATTAAAAAGATTGAGAAACGGAAGCTATTGCTATAACAGCAAAAAGATGTAAGAAAAAACATTAATATATGTTTTTTTTCTATATTATTTGATAGATGATAAACATTGGAGATTGAACTACTGATATAGTACCTAAAATATAAGCTTTTTTATGAAGCATAAGAGTGTATGGCTTATGAGTTTTTTGTAGGCAAAGCTCCATTCTGAAGAGACACCTGAATTTGATCTTGCCTTGTGTTGTCATCTTCATATTCTTCTGTTTCCCAGAGAAAGCTAGCATATGCTGCAAGAATATTGCTGTGAAGGACAAAACGGGATAAGAATTTGCTAGGTAGATCATTAAAGACAACTCGTAACTGATACCCTGATAATGAATTTTTTAAATTTAAACGAGATTAAAAGATCCCACATTTCTTAAAATCATTAAAGAATGTCAGTTTACTAATCTCGTTTATGGAGTACTCATTGATGGTGGATGGAATCATTTCTCTTAAAAATAATAATTTTTATTGATAACTAAAATCCGTTTAGATCTCCAAGGCATTGCAGAACAATGGAACTAGAGTTGAGTTCTTAAAAAGTAAAGTTTCAAATAACTGAATCCAAGTACCTATTTCCAGGATTAGTTTCAACTGCTAGCTCAAAGTAGTGTGAAGCTTTGTCATGGTCATGGCGAAGATCCCAGACCAATTTGGCATATTGTGACATGGTTTCACCATCCTGGGGGTCAGCTTGTATGGCTTGTAATATAGTTCCTCAGCTCCCTCGAGATCTCCTTTAGACTGTCAATCCAAGTACAGTTAACAAATAAAGGGTGAAAATGATGGTCAAAGTGAGAACCATCCACTTATGTTGATGAATACAAATCTCTGTTGCATTATGATTTCCTATGCACTCATGCAGATATCAAGTAAATGAATCTAAAAATGTGAGTGAGAGAAAGAAATTTATACCTGTTGTAAGAAACGAGCATAATTGCTTAAAACCGAAGGGTTTCCGGGATTTTCCTGAATCATCCTCCGATAATAATCCTCAATATCAAGATCTTGGATATCAGTATGAACCTCAAAGCCTGCTGGATTTGGAGGGTGCATGGATAGGTTAGCTGGCTTAGTTTCTTCAGGTAGTAAGTTTCTGGATACCTTGATAATTTCATCTGCTGTAACCTGAGAAAAAGTAAGACCCGTTATAGCATTGCTAACAGTATGCCACATTTTTTAGTTTCTATAAGAAATGATAATGGCTCCTCTGTAATTGAAGAACCAAATGCTACCTTCTGGTATTCTTGCTGGTCTCCATGTTCCTCTCCATCATCCCCTATTTCCCAGAGGAAACTAGCGTATGCTCCAAGGACATTGCTGGAAAACAACAAAAAGAAATGAACAAACTAAACTTGGGATCTGGATCTGACCAGTTCTACAAAAATCCAGTAGGTAAGTTCGTCTTACCCTTGTTCTTTTCGACAATAAAATCAAGCCAGTTAAACAATAAGTTTCGAAGCACAATAGTAATTAGCTTGAGTGAGACATTAAATGCTGATTTTTAAAATACTTGCCCAGCATAGATAAGTACTGACCTATCTTGAGAAGAAGCTTGAACAGCACGTTCAAAGTAACTAAGGGCTCTATCTTTGTCATGGTGAAGATCCCATACTATTTTGGCATATTGCATGAGAATTTCGCTATCTTCGGGATCTGCTAGCGTTGCTCGATGATAATAGTCCTCGGCTCCTTGAAGATCTCCCTTGGACTGTAAGAAGAAATTCAATCATGTTCCATAAAACTGAAAGACCAAGCGTTCTTTTATTCTAGAAAACAAAAAGGGAAAAAAGAATCCAAGTTTCATAAGCTATCTATGCATTATGAAGCAATCCCCATGGGGTCCTATGATCATCTTCTGTAAAACCTACTTTGAGATAGATCTAAAATACACCTAAAAATGCTAAAACTTGATCAACTTTCGGATATCTTGATGATTAGCTTGTTCATCAGTCACATCTCATACATAAACAGATTACTTTATATACAGCAAACATCAAATAGTCACCTGCAAGAATTTAGCATAATTCCTTAGGAACAAAGGATGACAAGGGGTACTCATCAACCCGCCTATGAACTCTTCAGGATCTTCCGTCTCATCAAGCTCCATGGAACTTAAATCAATGCCATCAACCATGGCACTAAAGCCAACACAATCAATTCCAAGACCTGCAGCAGATATGGGAGGACTAGGTGGCTCAAGTTCAACTTCATCTTTATAAGAATTTGAATTCGGTTTGATCCTTTTTTTCGTCTCCTTCTCTTCCTGAATTAACTCCATACACTTCTTCCGGAAGCAGAAATCAGGATTCCCCGCAGCATCAATGCTCTCACCAATTGTAACCGTTCTCTCCAATGTCTCCTCCCCTACTTGTCCATCTTCAACCACTTCACTGAATATGGAAAAAGATGGTGCACTATGCAACATTGTTATATGATGCCTATGAAAAGATCCTTTCGATGTTCCGGTATCAAGAAACTGACCTATACCACAAGAGCTGTAATCTGATCTTTCTAAGCTTCCTTCAGACTTAGCTCTCCGAAAGCGAGTAAGGCAAAAACTAGGTGATTCTGAATCGAATTCAAACAACCCTGACGTTGAATGAGACACAGGAGATGGACTACGTGAAAATGATGTCAAATTGAGGCTTTCTTGACAATGGGTGTTGAGGTTTCCCCCCTGTTTTCCATGAAGTAACCTGTAAGTAGCATCAAGATCTTTATTTGAACCATCGGTAGAAGGGAAGACAAGGTTTCCAATAACTGGGGTCGATGAGCTTCTTTGAAGCATTTCTTCAGTAACCTTAAATACTGATCTTTTCGTTGCCTAGATGTCTGTGCAAGTGAGCTGTTGAACAACAAAAATATGATTAAACTAAACTCAAATTGACTTCCAACAATAATAATACATTAAAAGAAAATTCCCCATATGCATATGTCTGCAATCTTAAGTAATCTTTGATCATTTTCTCACTTCTTACTAAAAAATCCCATTCCTTGATCCTAACTAAACATACCCCAAGGGGGAAAACAAAAGCAAACACAATTTTATCAGTTAACTACAAACTGAAGAAGTAAAGAAGTTGAATTGATAAGAAAGTAAAGAATAAAGAAAGATGCATGTGATTCCTTATTGAGTAAACTTCATTAAAGCATTCTCACATGAAGTTTACCATTTAATTTATTGTTGTTGAATCTAAAAAAAAAAAGATCAACGAACCCAACTGCCAACCTAATCAGATCAATTATTATTGAACCGCTAGTCTAGATAATGGAAACTAATTTGAAAGAAAAAAAAAGAGGCTCTCTCATGCTACAAAGGGGGGAAAATAGTTGATAGTAATGGGAAAGAGATGATAGCCCCACTTGTGGACATTTTTTCCTATATTACATTTTTTTCTCGCTACTGTATTTTCCTAATTTTTTGATCCCACGTATATTATTTAACTGAAAAAATATTTTATAAATTTTATAATTTGAAGAAAATCTTAAACTTTTTTAAAATACATTTTTAATTTCTATTACGTTTCAGTTGAAAATGATTAGATTAATGGTAGGTGAGGCTTTCAAACTTTTTTTTAAAAAAATAATATGACTCTCAAACTAATTTTACACTCAATTGACCTTAAACTCAAAAAAAAATTAATTTGACTTTTTGACGAATGGTTTTAATCGTGGACCGTTATAATATTAATGTAGCACTTCATGATGTTGACATGATAATTAATAGTGTTGATTTAACAGTTCATGATAGTTGATAATGTGATTAATGAGCTAAATTGATTTTTTGATCGAGTTCAAGAGTTAAGTTGATTTTTTAAATAGTTCAAGAGCTTAATTAATTTTTAGAAAAAATAAAAAAAACATTTTAAATATAAAATAATTAAAAATTAAATTAAATTAAATTAAATTAAATTACTAAAAGAATTAAGAATATATATTAAAAATACGAAAATCACTATTCATATTAACTAAACATATACGAAAAATGATCATGCCCACAAACTTCAATAAAATGAAATATTATAAAACAATTTTATGCAGTGTTTGTTATGGAAAGAAATCAAAATATCTCATGAATCAACAACTTCGATCTAAGCATAAAAAATATGAGACTAAAAGGAAAAGTATCAAATGTTCTCAATGATAAAATATCAAGCATAGCAGAATATATGACACGCACATTTCACAAAGATCTAAAACAAGACGTATAATATATGTTTTTATAATATTTTAATTTTTAATAATTTATTATTTTATAGTTTTTGATGTAGTATTTTTAATACATATTTAAATTTTTAATAATTTAATTTTTATTTTTGGTATTCTATATTTATTTTTTTTAATATTTTATATTTTAATTTAAAATTTAAAATATTTTATTTTTTCTCATAATTTAAATAAATCCTTGAATCTTTTTAAAAAAAATCAAATTCTCCCTCGAATTCAAAAAAATTAGTTTTATCTATCAATCACGTCATCAATTTATGTGGATTATCACGTTAGCATCGTGATGATCAACGAAGAAATCATTAATCAAATGATCACATTAATTTTTTTTAATTTGAAAGCTACATTGAGTGCAAATATAATTCAATAATGTACATTAAGTTTTTTTATAAAAAAAAGTTTGACTATTTGAGAGACTCACGTACCATTAAACCTAATTTTTAACAACTAAATTTAAAATTTTATATTTTAAAACAATTTAATTATTAATTAAAAATAATTTGGTGACTACATTAATTTTTTTAAATGACTGTATGAGGGACTCATGTACTAACAGATATTTTATTTATTTATTTAAATATTAATTGAAAATATATAAACATATATTAAAATAAATAAATAATAGAAAGAGAGATAAGTCTAAGTTTAGATGTGTCATAGAAACGTGTGCCTAATTTCTTGGGACCATACTAAATGATAAAGGTTGCTGGAGCCAGCGAGGTGGTCATTTACATGACACGTGGTGCAATATGTGAAGTTTTCTTCTTCTTTTTACTAATACTCATATTATGAAATAAATCAAATTATTTATTTATATTGAATTATTTTAACTATATATATATATATAAATTTAGAAAAAATATTTAAATTAATTTTTTAAAATTGATATATAACATTTAAACAACTAATCAAATTTTAACACAAACTATTTAATTAGATTATTATTTGATCAATTTTATCATCATAATTAAATTAACAATTGAGATATAATATATATAAAATATCTATATATATTATATTAATTTAAACTCATTAAGTGAATTTTTTTGATAAGAGAAATATTATTCTCCTTAAAAATTATGCATTCAAACAATTACGTCGACTTGGTAGTTGTCCACTAGTTAATAAAGTTATGAAGGAATACACATATCATCATAGGTTATAAATATAAATATATATATTGATATAAAATAAAAATTATTAATTTTAAAATATAAATAAATTCAAACGTTAGTTTATATAATAAATTAAAAGTGGTTTTAAGAATAAAAGATTGTTATGATCGTGAAGGACACAACCAATACCAGCCATGCCGAAGCTACCTTAAACTGCTGCGTCTACATTAAATTTAAGTTTTCCAGGCTAAGGGGCAATCCTAAACCAAAAATTAAGACCCAATAATCTTTTAAGCACACTAAACTCTAAGATCCAGTCGAACTTTAACCAAAATAAAAAAGGTACTTCTATTTAAACTCAAATTAATCTAACTAAAAAATTTAGGCCACTTTGATTACCGATTGAATTAACTGAATTTTATTTGATAATGTTAATAATTTTTTTTAAAAAATCGATTTGATAAATGATTAAAAGAATTTTTTTTGAGATATTCTATTTTGACTTATTCAATTTAGTCGGTGATGGAATTAACTATTTAAACACCACTATATACAAACGAGTGCATTTGAGACATAAGGTGAAAGTAAACAGACGAATTTCAATATGTTTAGATCATATTGCCAAAGCCCCAAATTGATTGGATTCCACCGGTAGAAGGTTATGTGAAGTTTAATGTAGATGATGCTTTTAATGACTCTTCAGCAGGTTGTGGGGGAGTCTTGAGATCGTATAAGGTTGATGTGAGAGAGACTTTTTCAGGTCCCGTTGATATAGTGAACTTCGACTTTGCAGAATTGGTTGCAATAAAAACGGTGTCGGAGATATTCAAGGAAGCTGGATGGTTTAAAAAAATGAACTTGATTATTGAATCAGATTTTCAAATAGTGTTGAATTGGATTGAAAATCTGTCATTGAGGGCTTGAGGCCCTGACGATGGTGGGATCTATTTGACGAGATTAATAGATTATCAAGATAAATAATCCAGGTGTGAAAGAGAAATGGATTAGCGTTCCATCTCGCGAAACAAGGTTTGTTTCGAACTATGTTGTTTAACGCTTGGTGGGAACTAAATGCTTATAATTTTTATGCTTGTAGGATTGTTCCCAGGAGTGCTTTGGAACTGCGATGGTTTTTTATCAGGGATGATGTTTGCTATTTTGTATTCAAGCCTTGCTATGGTGTACTTTTTTTACCATTTAGGTTTAGGGAAGTTTTGAATGAAGCATCGGAATATAAATTTCAATAAATAAAATCTTTAATTGCTGAGCAAAAAATATTAGGTGAATAATTCTGGAGGTTTTTTATCAGGGATGATGTTTGCTATTTTGTATTCAAGCCTTGCTATGGTGTACTTTTTTTACCATTTAGGTTTAGGGAAGTTTTGAATGAAGCATCGGAATATAAATTTCAATAAATAAAATCTTTAATTGCTGAGCAAAAAATATTAGGTGAATAATTCTGGAATAGCTGAATTTACAGATGAAAATGTTGTAAAAGTTGTTGTTCTTGACAAGGTAATATTTACTATGATTTCATTGGCATTTGGCCATCATTCTGGGAAAATCATGTGTTACATCAAACAAAACATTACATTTATTGTCCCTTGATACAACTTTTTGCTGCAGTAAACTGGAGTGAAATATTGATGGATACAAACGAGTCATCCGATGAATGCCTCAAAACAAACTATTATGGAGTCAAAGAATGTGTGAAAACACTTCTCCCCTTCTCCATTATTTGATTCACCGATAATTATAAACATCTCTGCCTCAGTTTAAACATATACTTAATGGAGATGCAATAATCATTAGCGACAGCTTTGATAGTGCTTTTTAACCGAGACAAACAACAAACTGTTTGTGTTTCAGAATATCAATGAATGGGCTAAAGCAGACATGGGAGATCTGAGAACCTTACAAAAGACAGTGTTGAGAATATTTGTGAATAACTTCAAGGAAGGTTCATTAGAAGCGGTTGGCCCACTCTTTTGGTCGGTCTCGAAAACCGCCATGAACGTCTACGCAAGGATACTGGCTAAGAAACACCCCGATTTCCAAATCAACTGTGTTTACCCCGGTAATATAAAACAGAAATGAACTATAACACAAGTCTCTTTTTAAAATGAAGATTCTAAAAACAATTCCATTAACGAAGATTCTAAAAGTAATTCCTATTAATTTTAATATGTATTAATGAGGAAATTGATTTAGAAATATGTAAATGACATAAAAAATATTGATGTGAAATTTTTTAAGTAGTTGAGACCACGTTATGAAAAGTTCCATGAATCATAAAATAATTTCTCCTTGTATAACTTAATTTGTAGTCCTAAAGAAGGAAATTGTGTGAGTCAAAACGTCCATTTTTTATATAGGTATAATAGAGAAGCATATATGATAGCAAAAGCAACGGTTTTTAGGGAAGTTTTGAATGAAGCATCGGAATATAAATTTCAATAAATAAAATCTTTAATTGCTGAGCAAAAAATATTAGGTGAATAATTATGGAATAGCTGAATTTACAGATGAAAATGTTGTAAAAGTTGTTGTTCTTGACAAGGTAATATTTACTATGATTTCATTGGCATTTGGCCATCATTCTGGGAAAATCATGTGTTACATCAAACAAAACATTACATTTATTGTCCCTTGATACAACTTTTTGCTGCAGTAAACTGGAGTGAAATATTGATGGATACAAACGAGTCATCCGATGAATGCCTCAAAACAAACTATTATGGAGTCAAAAGAATGTGTGAAACACTTCTCCCCTTCTCCAATTATTTGATTCACCGATAATTATAAACATCTCTGCCTCAGTTAAACATATACTTAATGGAGATGCAATAATCATTAGCGACAGCTTTGATTAGTGCTTTTTAACCGAGACAAACAACAAACTTGTGTTGTGTTTCAGAATATATCAATGAATGGGCTAAAGCAGACATGGGAGATGCTGAGAACCTTACAAAAGACACTGTTGAGAATATTTGTGAATAACTTCAAGGAAGGTTCATTAGAAGCGGTTGGCCCACTCTTTTGGTCGGTCTCGAAAACCGCCATGAACGTCTACGCAAGGATACTGGCTAAGAAACACCCCGATTTCCAAATCAACTGTGTTTGCCCCGGTAATATAAAACAGAAATGAACTATAACACAAGTCTCTTTTTAAAATGAAGATTCTAAAAACAATTCCATTAACGAAGATTCTAAAAGTAATTCCTATTAATTTTTAATATGTATTAATGAGGAAATTGATTTAGAAATATGTAAATGACATAAAAAATATTGATGTGAAATTTTTTAAGTAGTTGAGACCACGTTATGAAAAAGTTCCATGAATCATAAAATAATTTCTCCTTGTATAACTTAATTTGTAGTCCTAAAGAAGGAAATTGTGTGAGTCAAAACGTCCATTTTTATATAGGTATAATAGAGAAGGCATATATGAATAGCAAAAGCAACGGTTTCATCTTCTAATAGTAAAACCACACCATTTCCACATGCTGTCAATGTTTCATTCCTCTCCCTCGGAATTTCCTTGATTATCTCGTTGTCGTCCAAAGTCCGCTTCCACCATCTTTCTCTTTTTGGTCACCAATAAACACCGTTAGTGACCAAAAAGAAGAACAACAAACACCTCGACATCAGCAGCATTTTTTTCTTTTTCTTTTTGGCCGGAAATATGAGCGTTTCGGCGCCATTCCAGCTGCTGGAAATCAATATGATTTCCGCCCAGGATTTGGAGCCCGTTTGTCGACGTAAGATGAAAACTTACGCGGTGGCCTGGGTTCATTCCGATCGAAAACTCTCCACGCGAATCGATACCCAAGGCCACACCAATCCCACATGGAACGACAAGTTTGTTTTCCGTGTCAACAATGAGTTTCCTCCAACGTGATACGTCGGCTGTCATGATCGAAATCTACGCCGTGCATTGGTTCCGTGACATCCATGTCGGCTCCGTCCAAGCCATCGTCGGGAACCTTATTCAGCCGGATTCTCAACGGCGCCACCGACAAGAAATCGAACTAGGGATGCAGTTCGTCGCTCTTCAGGTTTGGCGACCGTCGGGTCGACCCCAAGGGATTTTGAACATTGGGGTGGCGTTGCTTGATAATACGATGAGGAGCATGCCGTTGTATTGGCAAATGGGGTCGTCGGCGGTCGGATACCGACATTTAATGGGCGAAGAAGATCCGTTTCAAAACGCCGGCGTCAATCCTGTTTCAAGCACAAACAAAAGCAATAACTATCAGCAATTACTTAACGGATTGCTCAAACCCGAGCTTCGACGAACCAAGAGTGATTCGAGTTCCGTTTTGGAATCAGATTTAAAGCCTAAAGGATCATCCATTGTAATTGGTGGATCAATGGTTAAAGACCCTGAAACGGGAAAAGCCAACAATAAGATTGCTTCAAGAGGGAGTTCAATGGTAAATTACACGTCTCATAAAATTCCCACCAAGGGAAAATCCAGTTCGATTGTGAACGGTACTGAAAAAAACAACCACAAGATCACTTCAAGAGAGAGTTCAATGGTGAACTACGTGTTTGATAAAAATACAGAGAAAAACGCGGCAACGGGGCGAAACTTGGGTTGAAAACACCACCGGCTTGGATACCGGGGCACCGAAAAAACTTGGTGGGTCGATAATATGGACGGATTCAGAACTGGGTCCGTCGCCTTCGGAAGTGGCGGCGGCGGTGGCTAGAAACCTACAGTATAACAGGATGGAAGAGACGGGGAGTTCAGTGGCGGACGAGTGGAGTTTAGACGAAAGCATCGAAGGGCTTCAGTCGAAACTGGGAAGGTGGAGAACCGACTGCCGCCATTGTACGACGGAGGGGAGCTTTCGAGTTACACGTCGAGTGGGGTTCCGTCGATGAAAAACGCTATGAATGATGGAAGAAATCCCCGCGGCAAAGGGAGAACGTTTACATGTTTCGGCAACATTTTTGGATGTTCCATTTCGATAACTTGTGTGCCTGGGGCATCTGGATCTCGAAAAAAGACAAATTAAATATATTTTTTTCTTTACATTGGATTTCAAAAATGGCGTTTGAAGACGATTAGGCCATTTCCCCATTGTTTCTTTTTCATTTCCATTTATGTATTGGGGGAAAGGATAAGAAATTTGCTGCTGATGGTTTGAGTCACACTTAGTTCCTCAACGTTCAATCAGTAATCATATCGCTTAAAAGCACAAGAGACGCCTATACACGACACCAATTACAGAAATTGTTTTTTTTAACTATGTATAAATAAATTTTATAATAATATTAAAGTTTAATATAAAATATTTTTCAAATTATATATTTTTTATTTGGTGTGCCAATTTTTTTCTGTAAATTTAAATGTCTAATGTTACTAAGATTAACATTTAGGTGCCTCGTTCGTCATGGTTGTTAAAAGAAAAAACATTGGTTTATAAAATTTTGATTTTTTTTAAATAAAAAAATTATAATTATAAAAAAACTTAAATTTTTCTTAAATCTTTTAAAAAATCTCAACTTTAAAAATTTTAATTCCAAAAATCTTTACTCATGTTAGCCGTCATCTTTTGCTGTTGTTATTGACGATGAACAGTCACCTGACCAAACCTCATCATCATTGACATTACTATCGACCGAACCTCCATTCATGACAACGAGAAAATTAAATTTTAAATCCCTAATTTTTTAACCTTAAACCTCTATTCATACCTAATTTTTAACTAAACATCCATTCATGGAAAAGGTGACGACAGTGGTTACCAGCAAAGCAGATAAAAAGTGCAACAACGACTGATGTGGGAAAGGGGAAATAAAATTAGGGTTAGGAATTTTTTTTGTAATTTTAGTGAAATTATATTTTTAATATAAATAATATTTTTAAACAACTGAAACGTGCCAAAAGGGAAAAAAGGAAAATATGTCATTAAAAAAATAAAGAAAAAACAAAATGCTATATGAAAAAATAGAAGAAAAAAATATGAAATATGAAAATAACTTGAGATATTAATAAGAATAACTTGTATTAGCTAATAGGATTATATGTGGGAAAATAGTTCTAATAGCGTGTTTGAAAAAAAAATCCCCAAATGTTCTACTCATCGATTATTTCCTAGATTAGGATGTTTGCCACAGTATTTTTAGAAGATACATAGAGTTCTATATGACTTCTAAAAATACTTCAAAATTGCTCCACGTTTTCACCATTTTTTTCTACTCTACAAAATTGAAGGCGCACGAAAATAATATTGTGACTTCCCATTAACTCTGTTGCATTGACTTAATTCAGAAAATAATATGATATATGAGAAAATCATTTTTCTTATTATCCTATATGGACAAGGAGTCTGATGATATGTAATGTCTCTAAAATAATATTTAAAATTTAAACTTTTGATGTTACAAATAAAATAAATTTAATTAAAAAGTTTATTTGATAATACTTTTTTATAATATACGTTTATATAAAATATATATTTTATATTATTAATTTTTTTAGCGCAGTTGGTTTGTTCTTTTATTTTTCATCTTTGTTAACAAACAACAACATCAACCTTAGTGTTGATTTGGTGGCTGTCAATTTTTTTATTATTATATTTTAGATTTTAATAATTCTATTTTTATGATATATATTTCTATATTTTTATGACACATTTTTATTTCTTTTGACACGTTTTCGATCTTTTCTATTTGCCGTTTGATCGTTCTTTTTGTTTAATTTTTGATGAGTTGGATTTGACATCGCATCGACTGATCAAGATGAAACTATTTGATTATCTTGCTGATCTTCTCCGCTTTGAACTCTCAGATTGTATTTGGATACACGGTTTGCGTTCGAAGATAGTCGTCTCACGACACTCGACTCTGATTTACGGTTGTTGATGGTCTTTTCAATAGTTTCATCATTTGTTGTGATTTGTTTACGATGCAGTCAGATATGTTCGTATCGATCTTTTGTTCGAATTTTTAACATTTTCCTTGTATGAGTATTATATGATCTCAAATAATTAATTTCTTGTGTAATGATTATATAAAAATATGTTCGTTCTTTTTTTGATTTACGCTTATCATTATAAAATTTTTATTATAATTTTAAATATTTAATCTTTAATAAAATTAATAATTTCTATTTACATAAAAAAATATCACCTTACATATTTTTATATTTATTTTGTATCGACCGGTATTATTAATAAACGCCACTGCCACTTGTTAATTTATAGAGAAAATAACCTCAGTGACCAAAAATCTCATATAATATACGATTTTAACCAACTTTTTCCGGATTTGCCAAAATGACCAACAAAATCGCAATGCGATCGCTAATTCGCAACGCGATCTCCATTATCGCAAATCAGTTTCCAGATTCGCAACGCGGTTATGACTATCGCAATGCGATTTTCCAATTTCGCGTTACGATTTTCCCAATTCGCAATGCGAATAAGTAAATCGCAATGCGAATTTGGAAAATCGCAATGCGATACTGACTATCGCAATGCAATTTTCCTAATTCGCATTGCGATTTACGTATTCGCGTTGCGATTTTCATAATTCGCAATGCGAGTACGTAAATCGCAACGCGATTAAGTAAATCGCAATGCGAATTAGGAAAATCGCAATGCGAATACGTAAATTGCAATGCGAATCTTACTATCGCAATGCGATTTACATAGCGCCATTCGTATTAACGCGTATTTTTTTTCAAATTCCAAACACGAATTTTTTCTTAATAAATCGGAAACTGAACCGTCCACAGTAATCGCAACTCATAACCTCAAACCTAAAATCACAACACTCAGTCCCATCTCCATCTCTCACTTTCTACGGCGAAATCCGTCCCCATCTCCGAAGATTTCCGTCCCCATTACCGACGAAATCCCTCACAACCATTCACAGTCAAAAATCCCTCACAATCATTCAGAAATGGAAAATCAACCTCCGAGGGTTAGTTTTTTTTTGTTGTTGAAAATTTTGCATTATTTTAGGTTTTTCATATTGAGATTGAT